TAAATTGATCTCGACCAGAAACTCAAGTATGGGGCTCATACCCAGAATTGTCCATGTTGTATTATGTTTTGTGCACAACATGTAGCCTACTGTAACTACAGACATATGACACATTGACAGTTTTCAAATTTTCACCATATTTCATAGGTTATAACACATTTTACACAGTTTGATGGACGTACAGTGACGGACGTACAGAAAAAATGTACGTCTGTCACATGGTTTTGCTAATTAGTGTAATTAATGGTAGGCTTCCAATTTGCTGTATACACTTGGTATACCTAGTATGCTTTAAAACAGAGTTTTGGTAATTTCTTTGTACCTGGTTAGAAAAGGAAATAAACAAATGTCATTTTCTTGTGACGGATGTACATCGATATTTTCATTATTTTTAAATAATTTTTAAAAATTTCAAAAAATTTCACCAAATCACACAATACAATACAGTACTAATTCATTATTTTAATGAAAAGTGAATCAGATTCTGATATTTTGCAAGGGAAAAAATTGGAAATTAAAATTACATTTTCTTTAGTATTTCAAAATATTAATTAATTGTATTGAATTCCAATTATTTTCCATGTGGTAAGTGTTTTTTTTATTTCACAAAAATATAACTCATTAGCTTCATAATGATGTATCACACATACACATTTGATGTATTTGAATTTTTTACCATTTGGTTTACTAATTTACGGAATTGCCCAAATGTGATCTTTGGTCTGTAAAACCTGGATTTTAGACCTGTGGCTACCATATCATCCAAAGTGCATTGATTGAGGGATGACTGTTTACTGAACTGTAGTATTGGGCATAAGCCAATATTAAAACAAAAATGTGATTTCCAAATATTTTACTGTGCTGGGACAAATATCTGATAGGAGGAGAAGCAATGTAGTTTATGGTGTTGGACAGGATCAAAGACTACTGAACCAACCATTTAGCAGTTAATATTATGCTCTGCACCAACTCATTTTTTCTGGGCTGTTTTTTAATAAAATGTTTATTTATCAATTGATATTACACTATCAGGGGCGGATTTAGGCGGAGGCGTGGCCCCCCTCCCCCGGACGTTTGGAAGGTAAAATAGAAAAAAAAAGGAAAGAAAAGGAAAAAAATTATCATCCTGAATGCCTCAGAGGCTATTTTTGGGCGACTAGAACACAAAAACTTTGCAGGGACTTGTCCCCAGACCCCCTAGCGTACTATTATCATGATTGGCCCCACTTTCGGTCTTCCCTTTTAGACATCTCTGGATCCACCCTTTTAATGCTCTTTTTAACTTTACAAGTGGCGAAGCATACATTGTTTTGTTGGGAATAACATTATCCTAGGCTGTAATAAGAATTTCAATGGTCAACTGATTCATATTGGTTTTTTTTTATAGGTAGAGAAACAGTGCAGATTGTGGTCCGGTATGGGATCAAAGGCAACAGCACCAGTGAACATCGCCCTCTACTATGAATCTCTGTGTCCAGGTTGTAAGGAGTTTATTACGACTCAGCTGCAACCAACTTGGATGAAGTTGGGCGATAGTGGAATACTTAACGTCACCCTTGTTCCTTATGGCAATGCACATGTAAATATTAATAAAACATCCTTGATTAATGTAAAAATATTACTATTGAAATAGTTATTGCTTAATTACAGTTTTCCCTACAATTCAATGTCACATGGGACCTGAAAATATAAGGTTTCAGGATTTGATGAATTTCATCTTTATGTAAGATTGGAGATTGTTAGTTGGTGTACATTGAAAAAGTGGTGTAAAATTTAGGAGGGGGTCTCAAATTAATTTGGAAACTACAATTATACAGAATGCAACCATGATATATTTGATGTCAATATATATTTCTTAGTTTGTAATGAATTTTTATGATTTTTTAAATTTATTTATTACAAATTAGGCACAATACATTTAAAATATATCTTGACAAGGGGCGTGACTAGAGATGACGTGGGGTAAAGCCCAACACATCAAGTGGTCATCAGTTCTAAGTTCATTTTTAAATAGTTCTCATGCAATATCTATTTCCCAAGGTTTACTGCTGTAGCAAACATATCTGAATCATTACTGAATTATCTTTTTGTTCCATTCTCTCAGGAACAACAAGAAGGAACTGGATGGAAATTTGAATGCCAACATGGCGAGAGGGAATGTGCTGGGAACATCATGGAAACTTGCATCTTATCGCTGTTTAAATTCAAAACTGCTGCCCCCATTATCTTTTGTATGGAAGCAGCTGTAGACCCATATATGGCTGCCTATCAGGTAAATGATTAGTACAGGGATTTTTCGATGCACGACGTTAACCTTAACTTTTAACGTTGGTACCCAGCATGCAGCACGATAGCTCCGCCCCTTTTGTAAAAAAAATCGAAATATGCATGTGCAAACACGTAACTAAAGTACGTCGAGCACGTAAAATCCTGAAATTAACATACTCGGCAATGCAAGGTGAATAAACTATGATGTCATCCGTTAACGTTAAGGTTAACGTGTTGCATCGAAAACTGCCTAAAACCTCTGCCAAATTAGTTTATGCATTCACTGTTGTCTGTCTGTTAGCAAGTGAATGCATAAACTTAGGAAATGATCATAATATTTAGTGGAATATTTACATAATAATATAAGAGGTGATTACATTTTGGGAAGAAAAAGTCAAAGAACAAGGTCTAGGTCACCCATATTCAGTTTTTTTTTACACTTTACACAAGTGTAAATATGTACTTCATGAAGTGACTGCTTTTGTTGACCATGAGACTAGGTAATACATGACTTTTTCTGAATAATGATAGTTAACCCATGGAGCAAGAGTATTGTGGATGGTTGTGATTACTCTGTTTTACTGCGCTCTAGCATTGTCCAGAATTTTGATATTAACGTTTTTTGTAAATTAAATTTTTTTTATATTCAATAATTCTATTTTAATAATTTTGATAGAAACACATTTTTTTGGAATTTGATTTGTTTTTAAATTAATAATTTGTATTTTTTTTTTTCGCACTTTAAATGATTGAAATGAAATTATAAGGATATAACCTAAAAGCTCATTTGTGGCAAAGACAAGCCGAACCAGTCACTTGTTGCAAAAAATTATTTTAGTTATTAATACAGAGTTGAACATTAAAATGAGAGCTATAACATGGTAAATGAATAATTTAAATCCGACATTTCGTTATGAAGTTATAGGAGTTTAGACGTACAGCTGTTTAAAGAACAATATTTGAAAAATCAGCCTTTAAAATTTATGATTTTGAGTATTTCTCAGACAGAAACCATCACCAAATCGTTAAAATATTGTTTTAACATTGAAAATGGTGAAAATAGCAGTATGGCATGATATAATAGATATATAGTGTAAAGGTTAGTTTAGTGCAATAAAATAGATTTCAAAAATGTTGACATTCACATTCTACTATTAAATCACAATTAATTAAGTAAATTGTTTTAAAATTATTAACTCAATACACTTTTTATTTCCATTATTTTCTTTCAGTGCCTCCAGCAACAGGGCGTTGACCCTAAACCTGTCTTACAGTGTGCTAATAGCAGCATGGGGAATGCACTTGAACACAAGATGGCGCTATTGACTGAGTCATTGAATCCACCTCATCAGTATACACCTTGGATTACCCTTAATGGGGTAAGTTTCATGAATGCGCATCTTGTCTTTCTGAAGTGGGCCACTGGGGAGAGTTTATTTTTAGGAGAGGGGTCTACCTTTGTGCCATCCTGTACAGTAGATCAAGGGCCTTCAATTGCTCATGAGCCAATTTGGCATGCTAGCAATTTCAATCAGAGCAGAAGAACTGGCTGGCTTTGCCCATGCAATTAGTTGGTGAATGAAGAAGGCATTGCCTGCTGGCAGAGTGCAGGCAAAAGTGCACTGCCGTTGATAGGCACTTTATCCATCAGGTTACAACTCTAGTTATTGTTGTTAATTTTAAAGCCAATCACTACAATAGCCTACTTGCACCAAACACTGAAATTATAACACGAATCACTTCAAAGCTGACCAACAGTACAGGCTGGTGTGTCTATGCTAATGGAGATATAGGATACCTCTACTTATACTTGGCCAGATTAAAGTAATCAAACCCCCATAGCTTGCACCAAAGACTGAAATAAAACATGAATCACTTCAAACATAATCAACAGTACAGGCTAGTACAATATGTCTATGCCAATGGAGATATAGGATACCTCTACTTATGCTTGGTCAGATTTACAAACCCACATAGCCTGCACCAAAGACTGAAATAAAACATGAATCTCTTCAAAGCTAACCAACAGTACAGGCTGGTATGTCTATGCCAATGGAGATATCTCCACTTTATGCTTGGACAGATTTGCAAACCCCCTTTTGTAAGTAACTGCCCCCTTCTTTCACAACTAACATGGAGTTCAATACTGAGGACCATTATGTTGTATGAGGATCTTTTAATACTACCATCAAGCCCACTTTAAAGTCTTGTTCAAAGTGACTATCAAATTACATGTGACAAGCCAAATATGATCATGATGACATCACATCATGACCAAACATAGGCACATCATGACTAAATACGGGCATACAACAGTTGATAATCTGGAGAGAGCTTAATTATTATTTTTCTTCCTTTATAGATGCACACAGAAGCCATACAGCAAAAAGCCACAACAGACCTTGCAAAACTTGTGTGTGATACCTTCACTGGACAAAAGCCAGATGCTTGCAGTGATCTCTATAATATGGAACTCTGCTACAGAAACTCAAAATCCACATTTACATAAAAGTTTACATCGAAAGCAGTCAGGAGAAAACATATCAGGTCGCTTATAATATTAATTTTGTATGCACAATGACAACATCCAATATAGAGAACAAATTACAAATTTATAAGATATAAAATTTCTACGGTAGCAAGATTTATTTTCCAAATACCGGTACTAAATCATAAAAAATATACTATCGTTATTAAAGTTGTACAATTTCTCTGAAAATATTTTAAATTATAATTGTTTAAAAATGTAGCAAGATTTATTTTCCAAATACCGGTACTAAATCATAAAAAATATACTATCGTTATTAAAGTTGTACAATTTCTCTGAAAATATTTTAAATTATAATTGTTTAAAAATGGTATAAAATAGAAATCTATTGATTTACATATATAATGTTTCCATGACATTATACTATTTTGAGGTTTACTGAATCAGTACTAGTCTCTTGATTATCAAGCCTATTCTTTAACCTATGCAATTAGCTAATAAACACAATTTTTTATATTTTTAAATCTTTAAAATCAAAAATTGGTCAATCACTGTGAATCAGTTGTATACATTCCTTCACATTACCTCAATATAATTCTATTAGTACTTCTTGAAATACTTTTTTGTTGTACATTTAGTGTAGTCATTTGTTTTGTGTTTATTATAAATTGCACTGAAGCTCCAGTATTTTGCAATATATATCATTATTTTCCATTATACCATTACCTCAATATCAATGTATCTTAGTGGTTAATAATTAATTAACTCATTTGCAATTGACTAAATATTTGAAGTTTAACAAATATGACCTCTAATGTGAAATGCAGTGAAGCTTTAGCATTTGCAATGTACATTATTTTCCATCATAACATACCTTATGTAGCTTACTGGATAATTATTATACTCATTTGAAATTGACTAAATAAATGAAGTATGACGAATTATGACATTGTGCTATGAATGTTTTGGTGTCTGTGTAACATTTCCTACTAATTTTAATTTCAAAATACTAAAAATAATACACTGTCTATGTCAAGAAATATAATTTAGTGTTTCAGTTCCTTTGTTTATTTAGAGACTTGTTAATTTCAACTGAAATTTAGAACGAAAAAATAAAACATTTACATTAATAACCATTATGAAACTCTTAAAAGTCCTTAAGTGGTACAGTACAATATTTAGTGTAATTTTTTTTTTCTAAAATCTTATTTTAGTTAATTAAACCATGGAGGAAATATATATAAATATAATATATTTCTTCCATGACTAAACTTTGTTTGATTAATAGTAATTAAATATTGAATGTAAGATTTTACGATAGACAGTGTATTATGTATAATTGATCTATAAATGTGCAAGGTTATATAGCTCTAGTTTAAACCCATTAAACCCACGAATTTACTGGTATGTCAGTAGTCACTGTGTAAAATAAGGATGGTGATGGTGATAAGGATGGTGATGGTGGTGGTGATGATGGTTGCTGTGATTGGTCGGTGGTTGGTACTTAGTGGCAAATTCTAGTGTGGTGGTAGAGGTGGCAACCAGCCTACCCCCACCCTAACAAAAAAACGTTGTAGTGGGGTAGGGGTGG